GAATAGCATTTTGCCCTTCTGTCTCCTGGCTACCACCTGAGCTGCTGGTGAGTTCACAAGTGACTCTCCTCACTCCTTTTTCAGTGTGAGTTCTCAAAGCGTTTCCCTCTTGGGGACCTTTCTAATGCCTCCCCTGGGGCGCCCTCTCTGCCCCACTCCAACTGCTGTTTTTGTCTCTATATTATCTTCCTTTGAGGCATAAGTCAGCATTGGCCCAGGTGGGGCCTTTCATAATTTCACGATTCACTTAGAGGACCTCACTTGGGCAGGGGACATTTGGGGTGTAGCTGGCTGTCCCCTTGGGTGGGTGAGCATGCGTACTTTCCCTTTCCAGGCCAGAAGGAAAGCCCCCTTGCCAAACTGACAGCAAATCAGAAGTCCTAAAGGTGAAGGAAACCTTCCCAGCCAGTGTCATACGGTGTTTCCTCACTGCCCGCACAGAACCCAAGCACCCTAGGCCAGTGAGTGATGTCCAAAAGTTAAGAACCTCATAATATGTGTGGGAGGTTACAATTCTACCCTCCTTGATGGTTTTCCAGCCAGCCCTCTAAAGAGTCTACTGTGCTAAATGCTGTCTATCTGTCTTATTACAGATGAGGGGCAAAAATGAATGTCTTAGGTAAGGATACCTTCCAAGGGGGTGGGGGGAAGTTGACAATTCCTAGCTAAAATAAGCAGTTGCACTGGTGTCTTCCAACCACACCCTCTTCAACTCCAAAGATCTAAAGACTGTAAAGAAGGTAGGTGACAAGAGGAAAGTGACTTCCTTCCCAAAGGCTGCTGTGGCATCTCTCATTTCCTGATCCCATTCCTTCCAAGCTGTTCCCTCACCTTCTGCTCCCTTGGCCACCTCCACAAGCTCCTCAAGATGGGGCATGTAATGCTGCAGCTCCGGGCCAGCCAAGGGCCAGCTCCCTTACTGTGGGAGAGAAGTCCTCAGTAAGAAGTCAACAGAGCCTCTGCACTGTTAGCTGGCACGTCCCCTTTTTCTTGCTAATCTTCCTAGCTCTGTACCCTGCAGTGGGTAGACAGCATGGGGCTGGCTTACATACTCCAGACTCCAGAAGCTTGTAGGAACTGGTGTTTTGGAGAGCTGCCGCATTCATGGTTGGGGGACAATGGAGCCCAAGGAGGCACTATCCTGCCTCGCAAACCCTTTTAAAAGCTCCCTTCTCTGGTGCCTGCCCCCTCTGACAGCTACTTCTGTCTGTTCACCTGGCCATTGCCTGGGAGCCTGGCACCAGCCTGGAGTGCCCACAGCCCCGCCCTTCCAGAGCCTCTCAGGCTCCCCCCTGGGGAATGAGATTGTCACGTCCCAGTGCTGCAAGCCCAGATTTGCCCAGGGGCTGGGGCACAGATGCCCCTCTGAGTCCCAAGCTACTGCCACCTGCAGTTCACCACCTCCTTGCCCAGGGCAACATCAGGAGTGTCCCTGTTCCAGCTGAGTCCCTGCCTGTCCCCAAGGCCCACACCATGTACCAGAAGCAACTCTGCCCTCCTCGAGTTTACCTTCCCAAAAGACAGTTGTGCAGCCCCAGCTTCCTCTAAAATCTCCAAATCCAGACACCTGAGGATAGGAGTGGGTACAGGGCTCTACAAACCCATTTTCAAAATGCCTTTTTGAAGCTACAAAATACAAAACTGGAAATGATCTGCTTCTTTAAGATATATTTTTCTTTCTTTTCAGAAAAAAAAAAAGAATTTTTCCTTATTCTTCAGAAAGATATGTTTTATTTTCTTTGTACTTCAAAATTGTATACATAAATGACCCACATTGTCACCCTGTCCAACTCTCTCCGATATTTCCACACTCCCAATCCCTGGGATGCCCTTATCCCTGGTCATAGGAGCTTCTCCTCGAGGTGGACAGCAGAAGGTGCAGAGATGCATGATAGGTGCTGGGATTCAGTGGAGACTGAGCGCCCTGCCCTTCTTCAACTAATTTGTTCTATGTATGTGATGAGTGTTTTGCCTACATGTGTGTCTGTGTGCCACCTGGGTGCAGTGCCCACAGATGGCAGAAAAAGGCTCTGGAGCCTCTGGAAGTGGAGTCACAACTGGTAGACTGCCACCATGTGGGTGCTGGGAAGCAAACCCAGGTCCTCTGCAAGAACAGCCAGTGCTCTTAACTGCTGAGCCTTCTCCACCACAAACCCACTCCCCGTAAACTGCTTTCTAGCCACAAGAAAAACACACATGCAGAGTATACCTTGTAAAGCTTGCCAGAGGGAAGGAACTCCCAGTTAAACATATTTTATTCTTAAACTCTTAGGGAACTTGGTTGGGACAGTTTTGTTCCTAGAGACAGGTGGGGTTTCTGTCCAGTGAATAGGAAATCCAAGAACAACCTCTTGGCTACTAATTAAGGAGAGTCCCAGAAGCATTCTGTCTTGGTTAGCAAAGAATACTTGCAGCCCATCCACAGGCTTCAAGGCCAAATCTCAGTGCCCCTTCCAGCTGGAAAGCTAAATCCGTGGCTTCTGATTCTCACTGTGTTCTTCCTTCCAGTAAGTGTGGACGTTCGTGCAGTAGAGACAGGATCATGGTGGCTTTCAAAGGGGTCTGGACACAAGCTTTCTGGAAGTCGCCGCAGAATTTTTAGCCATGCTTATCTTCGTTTTGCTCAGCCTGGGATCCACCATCAACTGGGGGGGCTCAGAAAACCCCTTACCTGTGGACATGGTCCTCATCTCCCTTTGCTTTGGACTCAGCATTGCCACCATGGTGCAGTGCTTTGGCCATATCAGTGGTGGCCACATCAACCCTGCTGTGACAGTTGCCATGGTGTGCACAAGAAAGATCAGCATTGCCAAGTCAGTCTTCTACATCGCTGCCCAGTGCCTAGGGGCCATCATTGGAGCTGGTATCCTCTACCTGGTCACACCTCCCAGCGTGGTGGGAGGCTTGGGAGTCACCACGGTAAGAACCCTTAGGTTCTTATTTCTGTCCCAGACTCCAGGCTGCTTGCAAACTCTGCTAAAAGGTGGCCCAATGTTCTGGGACACATTCATAAAATGGCTAGATTAAGGAGCTAGGGCTATAGCTCAGTTTGTAGACTGCTTGCCTGGCATACAGGAGGTCCTGGGTTATAGTCCCAGCATCACGTGTATGAGGTGCAGTGGCACATATCCACAATATCAGCACTATGGAAGTAAAGGCAGGAGAACCAGAAGTTCAAGGTCATCCTCAGCTACATATTGAGTTCAAAGCCACTCTGGACTACATACAAACTTGTCTTTAAAAAAAAAGTAGAAACCTATTGTGGTAGTTTTTAAAATATACACAGACAAGCCAGACGTGGGTGTTGCCTATAATCCCTGTATTTGGGAGATGAAGGCAGGAGCATCAGGAGTGAAGGCCATGTGGACTACATAGTAAACACTGTCTAGACAGAGGCAAATATTGAAAGGACATTATTTACTATTGAGTGACTTGAACATGATTAAAAAGATCTCAAAATGTTTTGTTTTCATTTTCTCTCCCACCACAGTAACCACAGGAGTATGTTTTTTGTTTTGTTTTTTGCTTTGTTTTGTTTTTTGTTTTGTTTTGTTTTTTGAGACAGTATCTCACATTCATTATCTAGCTCAGGTTGGCCTTGAACTTTTAGCAATCCTCCTGTCTCAGATTCCTATGTGCTGGAATTTGCAGATGTAAATCAGTATGACTGGCTTGACTGTATTTTTGTCTTAAGGCCTTACAATTGTTTATTAGCAGGGGCGACAATGTGTGGCTTTTTATGTAGGGGACTTTAGATAATCTGCATGAAGCGTCACGCCTTTAATCTCAGCACTCAGTAAGCAGGAGCAGGCATATCTCTAAGTTTGAAGCCACCCTGATCTACAAAGCAAATTCCAGGACAGCCAGGGCTACACAGAAAAAACCCACCTCAAAAAAAATAATAATAACCCCACAGTTATTTGATTTTCCCGTTACTCTTTGTGGCTTGGCAGTATTACTGGTTAGCTCTGCACCAGAGCTGCCTTTAAACACACGGCTTATGTTTTAGCTGAGATACCTAGGAACTAACCTAAACCTAATTATGGGTCTAATAATTGCCCTGTAACATTATAAATCTCGGATGAAAATCTTTTACGTGCTAAGTACAGCAGTAACACATTTTGCTTGTGTTGCTAACAACAACATTCAATGAAAACTCGGTCACTGTAAAATTATCTGTAATGGCCCACAATGAGTATAAAGAAAATCCTTCTTTTTAGGAGGTGGGAGGGATGGAAATCTCAACCTGGTACTGGTAGAAGACTCAACCATTGCTTCCTATGCAGATAGAATACACCCTTCAGACTGATGCTTTGCTTCGACCTAGACTCCTACTTCAATTCTGATGGAGCATCTCTCTCTCTAGGTTCACGGAAACCTTACTGCTGGCCATGGACTCCTGGTGGAGTTGATAATCACATTCCAGTTGGTGTTCACTATTTTTGCCAGCTGTGATTCCAAACGGGCTGATGTTACTGGTTCAATAGCTTTAGCAATTGGATTTTCCGTCGCAATTGGACATTTGTTTGCAGTAAGTTTTAAGTTCATTTGAATAATTGATCATCTCATTTAGCCTCACCCTGAAGCAGGCCTGAAGATGCTGTTTATAGCTGAAGCTTTCTTGAGTTGTTTTTAGTATTAATCAGCTGGGGACACTGTATTGTTTCCTATGACAGTCCTTCTGTAGCCTTTACCAATGTAGCCAGTGACCTGACCAGTACAAAACCGTTGAAACATTTGTATTATCTCAAGAGTGTTGTTTACTTCAGTGTTACCTTCTCAACAAATAAATACATGTTAAAAAAAATGGTCTGCAAACTAGCTGGACATAGGCATGTACCATGCAGATTGTGCCATAAAATACACAGCTCCTTCAGATCCAGCCATATCTGTTGATGTTAAGGTATCGATAACTTTGCCAACTACAGAGTGGCTAAATCTCAATGTTCCTCTGAGGAGAAAGCAGCAAGTTGCAGCAATGGGCATCTGCTAAGACCCTCTTTCCAAAAGGTTTGCAGTTTTGTTCTTTTTTCCCTGCAGATCAATTACACCGGGGCCAGCATGAATCCAGCCCGATCCTTTGGACCTGCAGTCATCATGGGAAACTGGGAAAACCACTGGGTAACTACTAAATCGATATACCCCATCTTCCTGAAGTTAGGAACAATTGTTCACAATACTTTCTTTTTATTGGCCTAAATTAGTTCACTAGTTTCTGTTGCTTTCTCCCCAACTCCAACTCTCAGCTTATTATTGCATCTGTCACAGGAGGTAGAGACAGCCTAGCAGAATTCTGCTACAAAAGATCTCATAGTGATCTGTTCTAGGTCTTCACTGACAGCTGGGTTTTCTTGAACCATTAGTCCGGACATATGTTGGACAGGCTGCAGCAGAATACTTGGTACATGGGTTTCCTATGTAGAATAAATTTAAACCATAAGGGTGTGCTTGAAAGCTTAGTTCATTCTGGGCACATCAGTGATGTGATAAAACGTGCTGTTTACTGAAACTCTGCAGTGTTTAAATCATGAAAGAAAGCCCTCCTAGCAACAACAGAAAATAAAGTTTTTCTTTTTAAGAGAGAAAGAAATACTGTTAAAGTATCACCTATGACAAAGGTATTTACAGTCCTAGTTTACATGAGCATAACATAATTAATAGTATATAGGGGCTGGAAGCATGTGGACTATGCCTGGTACCAAATACATGATGTAGATGTTTATGCCACTGTCACCACAGCTGTATCTAGAAAAATAAGTGAGTCCCAAGAAGGTGCACTTTTTAATCTCAGGACTAACTTCTTGTCAGTCTGGGCCTAGAGTAGTGACAGACATAATCATTTCTGTTTCAATTGTTTGTATCAACAAAAGAATTTATGTCCTTTGAATTACAGGCAATTGTGAAAGCCACTCATGCTTAACTTAAATAACCTACAAATACAAGGAAAATAAATGTATATGCAAGCCTGAAAATAGACCTAACTTTTATGGTCATTCATATATTGTGAATGTGCTTTTACATTTTGTAAAATTATGAATGTAACAATCTGTTGTTTGTGCTTTGGTCTTGTGCATATGGCTGCAATGGATCTAGCCACAGCTACCCAAAGATAGCATGACCCAGCAAAGGAGGAAAATATCACACCATGACTATATAAATTCCCTTATAAAAAATGTGCACTGAGTTGTTAAGACGTAACTTGGGCACAGACATGCAAAATTTTGATCTCCAAAGTCATTCATCAGACTGGTAATTTTGTCACTGATACTTCTGAAAAGACTACATTAGCAAAAATGGAATTTATGTTCTTTGTATGTGTGATATATGTTGGTGTGTGTGTGCGTGTGTGTGTGTGCGTGTGTGTGTGTGTGTGTGTGTGTGTGTGTGTTTGGAGGTCAGAGGATATCCTTGGATATCAGTTTTCATTTTCCCCCTTGTTTGTAGCAGGGTCTCTTGTTCACCACTGGTCACTAGGCTAGGTGGCCCTGGGGAGACTCCTATCTCCACTTGCTATTTCCTATGCTCCTGTGGGAACAGAGCAATTACAGAGATGCACTATGGTATCTGGCTTTTATGTGGGTCTCAAGGACTCAAATTCGAATCCTCATACTAGCATGAAGACACTTCCTTCACTCATGAGTCATTTCCCAGCCCCCAAACAGAAAATTTTAATACAAAGTTTACACATTGTACAATAAATGAACAGGTTTTTATTAAGTGACAGAATGACAGTTTAGTGAGTATTTTTCTAAACCATTTTATGTAGTTTATGTGTTTTTCTGTTTTCAGCAATAAAATCATTTCATAAAAATTGAAAAGCACTTTAAAGTCCCAGAACTTTGTGTGAGAATAGCAATTTGGCACCAAGATTTATTTTTGAGAACATGGAACTCGCTGTCTCCTCCAGAGTGTCATGGAAAGGGTAGTGATTGTTTAACAGTGCCTGTTCTCCTTGTGGGACTTGAGGCCTGTGAAGCAGCACAGATCTAATGAGACCTTACCGAGGGAACAAAGAGCAAAGGCATTTAGAGGAGGAAAGTCATTTCTCCTTTGAAAGGGCACAGGGAAGATAAACTCTCCTTTGGGCTCTTTCATGTTCAAGATAAGGAGCTTGCTTGGTCCAGCGACTCTTGCAGCTACTTCCCTGTTAAGGATATGTGCTCAGCTTCGGCAGGAAGCTTGGCTGTCCTTTAGGCTCTACAGTGAAGATGTTGAGTGCAGTTCATTTCCAGATGGTGTTTTAAGTAAGACATAGTTATAATTTTTTCAAATGAGAGATCAAACAGTAAGTTGATGCCATCTTAAGTGAGCTCATAACCTCCCAAACTGTCAACTTTCCAATCCATAGGAACATAAATTTTAATAATGTCTGTATCAAAGGTTATAATGAGATAAGAAAAGTGTTCAATATGGTCTGTTACAGTGCTCAGTAAACACGGCCTTGGTCCCAAGTGACTCTATTGATGAGCGCCTAACATTCTACAGAGTGTGTGTGCTGTAAAAGCATGTTCCAGCCTAATCAGAGTGCAATCGTAATTCATTCTGGGTGCATCAGTAATTCGATAAAACATGCTGTTTACTGAAACTCTGTAGAATCACTTGTTCATCCTTATCTAGTCACCACCCCTAAAGTCAGTACAGGTCTCCACTAAATCACTGTGCAGAGGGAAACACTCTCCGATGAGAAAGATGAAGAAACTGTAATGTTTCCTCTGCAATGAAGTCTCCAATTTTTAAAGGGGAAAAGCATAAGGAAACTAATTAATAGCCAAGTCGGTGACTTACAGCTTTAGATTGTCTGGGAATCAGGAACTGAACTGGTTTCCATGAGGGAAAAGTTACTAAGTGTCATTTCATTTAGTCTTCATAGCCATGTGAAATGCATATTATAGCCCTTACTTTGCAGATAAAGAAGTAAAGTGTAGAAGTTAAGTCACTAGTGGACTAATCTAATTGGTGAAGTGATTGTCCAGCATGCAGCAGGCCCTTGGCACTCTCTGTAACTCCATACACACTGGGCATGGTAGCACACGCCTGCAATCCCAGCACTCCAGAGGAAACAACTGAGGGATGAGTAGTTCAAGGCCATCCTCGGCTACATGATGAGTTCAAGGCAACGTGGGATACCAGAGACCTTGTCTCTGAAAGAAAAACACCCTGATATAAGCACTCAGAACTGCTAAGTGATGGGTCATGGACAGCATTCATTGTGCCATACTGAATAACAAATAGCCTAAATGATAAAACTGCACCATGATACTGATTATACAGAAAGTCAAGGTAAGAGGCTAATATAGAATACATAAGCGAAACACGCTCCAAAAATTATTTTTTCTTTTTATCTTAAAGAATTCCTAGTAGAGTCTGCTTAACTTGTGGAGCCACCAGAGAAGGGCTATTTTAGGTTAAGACTTGTCATATAGTTGGTAAGCCTGATATGACAGTACCCACCAATATTTTTAAAAGTTCATGATGCTGAGGGTGGAGGAATGTGAGTTAAGGCTAGCTTGAGCTGTGTAATGAGTCTTAAGAGCCTCCTGAACTAGGCCTGTCTCAAACAATAATAATAAAAATCAGAACATTAAAATATATTAAAATAAAGAAAATAGAAGACATTATTCTTTTCTTTTATGTTCAAATAACTTAGAGATCTTTGGTGTAGATTTCATATATTTTATCATTATTTTCAAATCCATCTGTGTGTGTGTGTTGAATTCTATATTCATGGGCTATCCAGGGAGACCACTTTTCACTTCTCCCTACTTATCTCTCCTCTTCCATCTTTCCCCCAGATTTATTGGGTTGGCCCAATAATAGGAGCTGTGCTGGCAGGGGCCCTTTATGAGTATGTCTTCTGTCCTGACGTGGAGCTCAAACGTCGCCTCAAGGAAGCCTTCAGCAAAGCTGCCCAGCAAACCAAAGGGAGCTATATGGGAGTGTAGGACAACAGGAGCCAAGTGGAGACTGAAGACTTGATTCTGAAACCCGGGCTGGTGCACGTAATTGACATTGACCGAGGAGAAGAGAAGAAGGGGAAAGACTCATCTGGAGAGGTATTGTCTTCGGTATGACTAGAAGACAGCACTGAAAGCAGAAGAGACTCCCTAGAGCTGGTCTCGGATGTCCTGCCACCCATTAAGGAAACAGATTTGTTATAAATTAGCCATGTGCGGGTTTCTTGTTTCATGCCTTATTACTCACTTTAAAAAACACATATTTTGCTATTATCAATGGAGGTTGGAGAAGAGACCTATAATGAATATGAAATTTAAAAAAAGAAATATTTTTAAAGGGGCCCCAAAGCAAATATGCAACTAGTCTCTCGAGTTCCCTTTCATTAGTAACAACTGGAAATGTGTACCAGGATTAGGTCAAGTCTTGCCTTCAGAGCATGTGGGCACCCCTGTGAGGAAGCTGGTATTGCCAACCCTCACTTGAATATTGACCTCATTGGATTGATTTACCAATGACAAAATACAGTATGTCATAGTGTCATGCTCATTCACGAAAAAGAAATGTAGTAAGTTCTTTCATGAGTCATCCCTTACTTACAACTACCTCCAGGGGGGGAAAAAAAAAACTTAGCAAGGGTCATCACTGAGAAGCCATTTGCATTTATATGGCAAATATCTGACTGGCAGATCCCAACCCTAATTCATTATAATCCTTCTTCCTCCTGAAACTCCAAGAAACTATAGGGCTAAAGTCAAGAAATTTGGAAAGAATATTAATTTCTTCCCATGTGTTAGTTCCATCTAATGAAAGATATACATGGGACATCCAGTGAGGCTCAGAATAGACAGAGCTATGGGGTCTAATGGGAGGTGGGGCAAAGGCCTTCCAACTGTGCTCTGTCGCCACATAATTGGTCTGTTTTCAGTGCTCATTCTTAACTGCACCACACAAGACTCACCACCTAAGCCTTTAATGGCGTCACTTACTTGTTAAAATTTATTGGCCAAACTGGGGAAATTGTTTGTCATCCTGTTATCTATAGTGAAACACTAGCTGAGATTAGCCGAGTCCTGCCTTTCTGTTGGTGTCTAAGCCCTGCTTATTCTTGAAGGTGTAAACTGTTCCTGCCCATCCCAACTTGTGATGCTGTCTCACTTCCCACGACATCCGTTGGTGATCTTCACTGTGAGTGTAATAACACCTAGAGTGAGTTAAAGTACGTGGCAGACAAGGTACAGCGTGGTTGCCTAATAAAAGGGTGAGGAGACTGCCTCTGTTTCAAGCTCCCCTGTGACCCATCTTTCTTATTGCACGTAGCTTAATGTGATTTTAAAGTATTTACCCTACTGCCCAGTTTATTTGTTTAAATCATTTGTTTTTCCCATACTGCTCCCAATAGAATGCTGTGTGTAAACCCCAGTTTCTACCATCATAACTGTCTAGCCTAGCATTGATCTTAGACAATGTGCTGCAAATGTCAACTTCACTAAACAAAAGTTAGTAGTGGAAGAGAGATGAACCATCTCTTCGAGGACTAGCTAGCTTGTAAATAGCTGAGAAGCAAGGGCTTTCTTTTCCCAGGCACAATTCCAACTGTGTGTGACTTCTTATTGTTAATGGCAGTTTTGTGTCTGTGGCAACGAGATAATGGACCACTATTAAACCTGATTCTCTTCGGTGCTAGGAAACTGATGTACAAGTTTCCAGACAGCTGCGAGACCACTGTATGCTTCTCAGTGCCACCGGCATACTTTACTGAAGATGCTGGAAGCACCGGCTCCTTTTTCAGGGTGTTGAAAATTAGACAGACACCAGATACATAAGATTGCTCCCTAACAGAGCAGCACTCACAGAACCAGGGCAGAAACCTCCCAAGGGTAGTTTGTGCCCACTATTTCAAGTGTCTTCACAATACACCACATAGGCTTAAGGTTAGGGTGATATCCACCATCAACAAACTTGTCAGGTCAAAAGAAGCTTAGCTGACACACATAGCTAAGCAGATTTCTGGGTACTCTTTCAAAAACCTTGGCTTGTGGTGATTTCTATCGTGCTGTACAGTTAACTTCATATATATACTTGCTTTAACATTCATTTCCAATGGCAGCATTCAGTATAGTAATGACTGCAAAACAGTGAATCATGGCTTTGTGATTTGTTTTTTTTAGAAACTGGCATAATGCCAGGCACACAGTAGGTAAACAAAACAAGCATGTTATTTGATATATGACTCTCATTTGGGCTTTAAGAATACCAATAATCTCTTCTAATTTTTAATTTTGCTCAACATTTAATAGAAGTATAATTTCTAGTAATATCAAAGGAAGGCAACATGGATGTGAAAACATGTTTTTACAAAAAAAAAAAATGTGTTTTTACAATCTACTGTTGAAGGGCAGAGGGCAAAGGTTTCGGCATTCTTTATCTTTGCATAGGAGACCACTTGTCTTGTATTCCACTCAAGGCTCTTGTCAGTAAAAAAGTAATGAAATTGTACCTTTCTAATGACATCTATACAGCAGGGGTCCATTGCCTTGTGGATGGCACCAAATTAGCCAGTGTATTAGGAGATCGGGGCTTTTCCTTTAATCCTTTCTTATTAATGAAGTGCACAGTGCAAACAGCACAGAGCTATTCCCAAGAGACAACTACTGACGGATACACAGCAGAGAGATCAGAAAGGAAAATCAGGAAGACATGAAAGATTTATACAAACCATGGAACAATGCCAACTGTGTTCCCTCAGGAAGAGCACACAGACATCTCCCAAATTTCAAGGTGGTCCATACACTGAGAATGCACATAGTCTGTCAAACAGTGCAGAAAGGAGTCTTTTTAAAAAAGATTTTGAGGGTTTCCTTCAAATGTAGGACTCAGATTTTAAATATGTGTTTCCATTTTCCTCCAAAACTCTTTTAACCTTTTACACTACAAGGAAGTGCTTTCTGGAGCCTAAGTCACTGGTAACTTTAATTGTTTCTGTCATTTGACACTACTCAGAAAATCTTTTCCTTTTGATCATTAGAGGGGTGTCCTACCATGGCTCACGGGCACTGCTGGCCACATCTCCCCTCTGCTGAAGATTTCATAGGAGATTAGAAATCTCTGGAAAATGTGCATGATAGAAATGAGCAGATTTATTAGAAGTCAATTCCAAAGCATAGCTCTTCTAGATGAATCCAGGCAACATGTGTGCTGGTCTAGCCTTGTTGATGGATGCAAAATTCCAAAACAGAGTAACAAATTAAAATGCTGCCCCTAATCCTTGCATGATCCTTTGACGAAACATTTTGACACCTTCTCCATGCATCACAAATGTGGCAGAGACACTGCTGTTGTGACAATTGAATAGACAACCTTATAAAAACTATAAATGTTCTTATCATAAGACTACAAGGTATGGAAATTTGAAACATTTTGGACCTGATAGTAATTACATTTTTCCCCAGTAAACTCACAGAGTGGAAATTATTAGGAAAACATGGTTACTATGTAAATAACAAAACTCACTTTCCTTACATCAAATTTTCTGAGTTCATGTCTATGTTTCAATACTTTTCAGAAAACCCTCATAATGCAAACCTTTGAAAACCATAATTCTCAGAAGTAAATGTTAGACTTTTAACTTCAAAAATCAAAAACTGGGAATACTCACTTTTTGCAAATAACTTCCCATAGCCTGTGAAATACATACCCAACAAATGTTATATGACGCATGCTGTAAACACCAAATTTAAGAGCAGTTACACTGTTAATCTTTTAAGTAAAAAATCAAGAGCTAAAAAAATACACCTAAGTTATATATCCCATTGTAATGTATCCCTAGATTATTTTCAGGATTAAGTAAACATGGGATTCATGAAAATATATAAATTATGTATCATTTTATGACCCAAATCACAATAAACTTGTAACTCATGATGAACTAAGCAAAATATAATGAATGTGTGGTTATATTTACAATTATTTATTAACTGAAGCATTATTCCAACATTGGAGTTAATGTTAAAGAGATTTAAACTGTAATGTCTACTACTTGGAAAATCTATTAAAAAGTATTAGCAGTGTGGCTGGGTTCCATGTCTTATGTTGCATATCATATTACTAGACTCACACAAATAAATCTTCAAAGTTTTTAAAGTAAATTGTGTATTTGGTGGTATTTTAAAATTCAGTTGTAGTATTTGGCACTTTCATTAAAATGAACAGGAGGTTTTGATATTTGAATATAATCTACCCCAAGTAAAATGGTGCTGGAGCTCATAAGATCAAGTATACTTGGTAAATGTCGGCAGAGTTTATACTGAGGTTAATACTGGGGTTTATGCGGACACAGACAGTGAAGACTGGCTTTTCATAGGCTTCATTCTTCTTGTCCACATCTACAAAATAGAGTATAGGCTATCAGCTATTATCACAGTGAGTCTAAACTCAAAACTCCAACAAGTGACTGGCACTGCAACATAGATGGCCTAGCTTCAGGGTGTCCAGAAACTCCTGTGCATCCAGATGGATAACATAGACTCAGTAAGTACTTATTTGCCTTCCCCACTGTACTTGGTTTAAGGACTTCCCAATTTTTAGCAGTTACAGACCTTCATTGCAAGGTTGGGGGTGGTCATTTATGGAGTAAACAACAAATCTCTCACAGCATTTGTCACATTCTGGTGAAACAACTTCTTGGGTGCCTGTCTCCTCCACTAGAATCTAAACTCCTTAATGGCTTTAAAGTGTCTTATTTATCCTGTGTGTTTCTCTTTCCCCACTCTCATCCCTGAGCTGTAAGAGTTTTGACATTCCACTGGAAAAGTGCTTGCTGCAAGGACAAAGCAATTAAAGAGTGTCTTAGAATCATGAGGAAATGCCACAAAGCCCTATTCTTCAACGTGGTTGCTTTCTGCTGCTGGGATGTGTGTGCTAAATATTTGAATTCTTATAATTCCAGGTAAGAGCTCAAAATTAGTTCAAACACAAAAGGAAAAGGAAAGTGTACACAAAGCGTGCAACACTAATTGGATTTCTAAAATGTATACCCAATGTGGAGGCAACAAGACATGTTTTCATTGCTGTGTTTATGCAACAGCCAGATGTTAGATGAAATTTAGTTCAGTTGAAC